TTGTTCCATTTTGTACTGTTTCTGCCAATATTCTGGTTTCTTTTGTATCACAACCTCCACAAGAGGATTTGATTAAAGAAATGATGTAAACATTTCATTGAGAGAAAACACAAAACGTCTTATTAACAAACACATGGCTAGTAGAGATAAAATAATTGAGCTGTTTCTGGTATTGAGTGATACAATTTGCAACACATCTTGTTGAAATCATTGAAACGGTTTTCTTTCTTTTTGTAAACAAAATAAATATCTCGTTCCAAAATAAAAAGGGATTGTCCAATCAGTCCCTCTTTTTAGCCTTAAAATAGGGTTTTTAGGTGCAAATATTAGGGTAAATTTCCACAAAAGGGAATAACATAAAAGAACAAGTGACTCTTTTTTCATTCAATTTAATTGAAAATTTGATTTAAAACATTGAATAAATACATATAACAAACATTTTGTTCGATCGATCGAACAAAATAGGGAAACATCTTACTAGTTTGTTCGATCGATCGAACAAACTTTCTTTTCATTACCAAAACTTGTTAATTTAAAATCAAATGAAAATTTGTTTTCATAAAAATGAAAAATTCAAAATAAATACTTTGTTCGATCGATCGAACAAAAAAAGCAATACATCTTAATATCTGTTTGTTCGGTCGATCGAACAAAATTTCATTTCATTACAAAAACTTGTTAATTCCAAAGAAAACAAAATAAATTTGTTCGATCGATCGAACATAAAGGGCAAAGATCTTATCAGTTTGTTCGATCGATCGAACAAACTTTCTTTTCATTACCAAAACTTGTTAAATCAAATGAAAATGTGTTCGATCGATCGAACAAAATTTGTTTTCATTAATCAAATGAAAAATTTAAAATAACCATTTTGTTCGATCGATCGAACAAAAATGTTCAGACTCTATTCAATTTGATAAATTTGAACAAGAAAATATAATAAACATTTTGTTCGATCGATCGAACAAAAAAAGCAATACATCTTAATATCTGTTTGTTCGGTCGATCGAACAAAATTACATTTCATTACAAAAACTTGTTAAATCCAAAGAAAACAAATATAAATTTGTTCGATTGATCGAACAAAAAAAGCAATACATCTTAATATCTGTTTGTTCGGTCGATCGAACAAAATTTCATTTCATTACAAAAACTTGTTAAATCCAAAGAAAACAAATATAAATTTGTTCGATCGATCGAACAAAAAGGACAAACATCTTATCAGTTTGTTCGATCGATCGAACAAAAATACTTTTCAGTACCAAAACTTGTTAAATCAAATGAAAATTTGTTCGATCGATCGAACAAAATTTGTTTTAATCAAATGAAAAATTTAAGATAAACATTTTGTTCGATCGATCGAACAAAAATGTTCAGACTCAATATTCAATTTGATAAATCTGTACAAGAAAATATAATGAACATTTTGTTCGATCTATCGAACAAAAAAAGCAATACATCATAATATCTGTTTGTTTGGTCGATCGAACAAAATTTCATTTCTTTACAAAAACTAATTAAATCCAAAGAAAACAAATGTAAATTTGTTCGATCGATCGAACAAAAATGTTCCGACACTGTATTGGTAAATTTGTATTAAAAAAAATGTAACAAATATTTTGTTCGATCGATCGAACAAATATTTTGTTCAGACAAAAACAGCAATACATCTTAATATCTGTTTGTTCGGTCGATCGAACAAAACTTCATTTCATTACAAAAACTTGTTGAATCCAAAGAAAACAAATATATATTTTGTTCGATCGATCGAACAAAAAGGGCAAACATCTTATCAGTTTGTTCGATCGATCGAACAAAATTTGTTTTCATTACCAAAACTTGTTAAATGAAATGAAATAAATAAAATAAACATTTTGTTTGATCGATCGAACAAAAATGTTCAGACTCTGTATCCAATTTGGTAAATTTGTACTAGAAAATATAACAAAAATTTTGTTCGATCGATCGAACAAAAATGTTCAGACTCAGTATTCAATTTCAAATTGGTAAATTTGTACAAGAAAATATAACAAATATTTTGTTCGATCGATCGAACAAAAAAAGCAATACATCTTAATATCAGTTTAATCGGTCGATCGAACAAAATTTCATTTCATTACATAAACTTGTTAAATCCAATGAAAACAAATATATATTTTCTTTAATCCATCGAACAAAAAGGGCAAACATCTATCAGTTTGTTCGATCAATCAAGTTGGTCAATCAAAAATATATTTTGTTCAATCGACCAAACAAAATTTCATTACAAAAACTTGTTAAATCAAATGAAAAATAAACATTTTGTTTGATTGATCAAACAAACAAGAGCCACCGCCGGGCGGGGCAACGCTCGACTTTTTACTTTCTCTAAAAGCAAACAAAGAAATGTTTGAACAAAATCTTAACGTTTCCTTTTAATAAAATTAATCATTCTGTCTTGTCACATTAGTTTTGTCTATATATTTTTTATATATAAGTATACTAATTTATATATATATAAATAGAGACATGCAATTCTACAAATAGAAAATTCTATAAAAAAAAACACCCAAGTCTATAAATAGAAAATTCTATAAATAGATACACGTGGTGGAGTCACGTGTGGGAGTCACGTGGTGGAGTCACGTGGTGGAGTCACGTGGTGAAGTCACGTGTGGGAGTCACGTGGTGGAGTCACGTGGTGGAGTCATATGGTGGAGTCACGTGGTGGAGTCACATAGTGGAGTCACGTGGTGGAGTCCACGTGGCAGTCATGTGGGGGAGTATCGGGCAGTCTCGTGGTGGAGTTAGGTGGTGAAGTCACATGGTGGAGTCACATGGTGGAGTCACGTTTGAGTCATGTGGGGGAGTCCCGTGGGAGTCACGTGGTGGAGTCGTGTGGCGAAGTCACGTGGTGGAGTCACGTGGGGGAGTCATGTGGTAGAGTCACGTGGTGGAGTCATGTGTTGGAGTCACGTGTTGGAGTCACATGGTGAAGTCACGTGGTCGAGACACATGGTGGAGTCACGTGGTGGAGACACATGTTGGAGTCAGGTGGTGAAATCATGTGGTGAAATCACGTGGTAGTAACGTTGGTGGAGTCACATGATGGAGTCACGTGGTGAAGTCACATGGTGGAGTCACGTGGGAATCACGTGGTGGAGTCACGTGGTGGAGTCATGTGGTGGAGTCATGTGGTGGAGTCACATGGTGGAATCAGGTGGTGGAGTCACGTGGGGGAGTCATGAGGTGGAGTCACGTGGTGGAGTCACGTGGTGGAGTCACTTTGGAGTCATGTGGTCGAGTCACGTGGGGGAGACATTTGGTGGAGTCACATGGTGGAATCAGATGGTGGAGTCACGTGGGGGAGTCATGAGGTGGAGTCACGTGGTGGAGTCACGTGGTGGAGTCACTTTGGAGTCATGTGGTCGAGTCACGTGGGGGAGACATTTGGTGGAGTCACGTGGTGGAGTCATGTTTGGAGTCACGTGGTGGAGACACATGTTGGAGTCACGTGGTGGAGACACGTGTTGGAGTCACGTGGTGAATTCACGTGGTAGTCACATGGTGGAGTCACATGGTGGAGTCATGTGGTGAAGTCACATAGTGGAGTCACGTGGGAGTCACGTGGTGAAGTCACATGGTGGAGTCACGTGGTGGAGTTACGTGGTGGAAGACTTAAGGGGCCAGGGGCAGCTATTCATCAACTGGACCAGAAGAATTTAGGTCTGTGGTGGGAAACAATATAAGGAACCAACAATTTGTAAAAGTCTTGAAATATGTTAATTAGACAAACAGAAAATGCAGATAATTAGAGGATGTCGGTACTAATGGCACAGCTTTGCAACCATATTAACCTCAATTATGGCATCACAATAGCTCACTGACACCTTAAGTAGCAGATAGATATCAAAACATGACAACTATATTCTTATGTGATATACAAATTTTTACGTCTAATTACAAAACATATGAAAAATATTTCAGATTCCTTGAATCCTTAATCGAAACGAAAATGTTAAGGACTTTAAGTAGTCTTTTTAAAACCACAAAACCATTACTAAGACCAAATATATAAAATCAAGCAATTGAAATGCATCATGTATTATTCTATCTTTTTAACAGCAGGCTAGCTGGCTGAAAAACTTAAGACCATAGGAAGTAAATTGCATGCTCATATAGTTTGCATTAATATTATGGTCAGAAAACTATGTTCCAAATATCAAATGCCTTTGATTGTTAACCTTAGTGAAACAAAAACAACATTTACTCAAACTTAATAATTTTCTATCCTCAGAAAAAAACCAAAAAAAACCAGATGTTTAAATGTTGTTTTGCATAAATATTTGAGAATACAGCGTAATATTCAAACAAGAGGGCCATGATGGCCCTGAAGTCGCTCACATGTATATAGGCCCCCGGAGCGGGGCCAATTTTGACCCCAGGGCTCTTATTTGAATTGACTTGGTAGACATCCATTAGAACATGTTTCATGCTAAATATCTTAGCTCTAGCTCTTTGGGTTCTTTAAAAGAAGTTTTTTTAAAGTTTTTACTATATGCATATAGGGAAAATCAATGACCCGCTGGGGCGGTGCCAATTTTGACCCCAGGGCTTTTATTTGAACAAACTTGGTAGACACCCTTTAGAGGATGTTTCATGCTAAATATCTTAGCTCTAGGTCTTTGGGTTCTTTAAAAGAAGATTTTTTAAGTTTTTACTATATGCAATAAGGGAAAATCAATGACCCCCGGGGCGGGGCCAATTTTGGCCCCAGGGCTTTTATTTGAACAAACTTGGTAGACACACGTTTAGAGGATGTTTCATGCTAAATATCTTAGCTCTAACTCTTTGGGTTCTTTACAAGAAGATTTTTTAAAGTTTTTACTATATGTATATAGGGAAAATCAATGACCCGCTGGGGCGGGGCCAATTTTCAAAGTGAAGTTTGGATGAAATTGGCTTAATGGTTTATGAGGAGATGTCATTTAAAGTAAAAAATAACGGACGCCTTACGGACGGATGAAAAACGATCACAAAAGCTCACCCTGTCACAGGTGCCCTAAAAATGGAATAACTGGTTAGTATCAATATATTTTTTCACAATATGGCCCTGTATAGTTTCAGTTTTAATTTATGAAGGATTCTTAATTACAAAGTACATATAAGATGCACAATCTATCACATATGAATCACATAATAGGGATGTATAATGAATATAAAGTACCGGGACATAAATTGATATGTGCAAAATTACCAATATGGATAGACAATATTCGGAACCATAAATCATTTATGAGCAGCAAAAACTGTAACAAACAAAAGAAAAGAGAGAATAATTTTACAAATAAGAGACAGATAACAGACAAACTAAAACAAAAAAACAAGTAAATTTCCATAAATATCATAAACCATATATGTTTTTTACATTCATTATCCAACCAGATAACTAAAGTTCTTCTAAATGAATTGACACTGAATCTACATTTTCTTTTTCCCTGTTTATCTTTGGTTTTTCTTGACTGTAGTGAAGCTGGCTTTCTTTTTTGTGGTTTATTTGCAGGCTGTCTCTTTTCAAAAATTTTCATCTGCTCACGTGTTTGTCGAATTAATAACTGAAATTAGAGAGTAGGAAAGTCTTATCATTTGTTAGTGAAAAGCATTCATTAAAATACTAAAATAAATTACAAGATTGACCTAGAAAATATTGTTTTATAGCTGTCATACTTTACTTAAATTTATTTTAAATGACCTGCCTTGTGATTTAGTTATTATAATTGTGTCTTTGACTTTGCGGTTAGGGTCAAAATACCATTAATGGTTCCATGAACGGATTCAAGAGTGTTTCAATAAGCTTATAGCTTCCGACACAATCAAACTAAAATAATTTGTATACACTAAATTACCAGTAGTAACCCTATTCGCTATAAGCTGGTCCTAAAAAATTTCATAGATACATGAACCACATCTTTATAATATTAAGTTTTAATCTCATTACATGTCTTTCTTTATATTAAATGTCATTATCACTTCTTAGCAGAGGTAACACATTTTCCAAAAGGATATCTGAATCTGGTTTACCTGTGGCTCACGATTTTCCTTGTCCAGTACGTTTTCTACCTCATCTGCCAACCTCATCAGTGGTATTTCCTGGTGATCATTTTGTTTTGGTAGGTCTGGTAGAATCCATTTTTCATCTTTTTTTTTCTTTATTTCTTTTAAAGTATTTTTCCATTTATTAATAATATCATTTGTTTTAAAAAGGGCTTTATTTGTTTCAATTAATTTTAAAAGTCTTTCATCTTGTATATCAGTGAAATCAGCTGGCACATGTTTTGGTTTTCCTTTAGGTATTTCCATTAAAAAACCAGTAGACTCTATCTTCCACTCGTTGTCATGCTCCCCTTTATAACATGTTACCACTTTATTATTGACTTTTTCAAATTTAAAGTGAAGGGGTTCAGTGGTGCCAGAAATATATTTAGGAATTGACAATGTCAGCCACTCACGAACATTGAAAACTGACTTAACAAATTCATGGGGACCTAAAAGTTTTACAAAATCGTCCAAAGTTTCTGTGTCCGTCTGGTATAAATCACGAGATATTAATGAAAATCTGGCATCTATATCCTCATGGGTGTGGCCAACTGGCAGGAATGATAAATGGACCTGAAAAATAATATGATAGTATGTTTCAAACATTTATATACAGCCAGTTCTAATTGATAAATACATACAACATTAAAAGCAACAATACCCAAGAACTACACGACGAAATATGAAGATTACAGGCAATAAATACAAGAGCTGTCAGCAAACTTAATTTTTATAATAGTACCTGATAATAAGCCTGGATAAACTGAAAGTATCAATTGAGGATTTTGACAAAATCAAGGTGAGGATCTTTTGGATATCAAATGTCAAGTGAATAACTTTATTACCCTTAACCCCCTTGAAGATGTATGAAAGGTGCAAAACTTTTACTAGGAAATATAAGTTCACAGACAGCCATAAATCAAATTCATGCTAGATAAAGGGCTTTTAAGACCTCCTGTTAATCATCCCAAGACATATGCAAATTAACCAGCAAATATATTGTATCAATAGTGCAGGATGAGAATTTATGGGTATAAAAAGATGTTATTGAAATATTATACCAAAACTTGGGTGAATAGGAAGTCAAAATATTCTTTAAATAAGCCCTATGTTTGATAGTAAATCTTATTTTTATTTCTAAACAGGCTTGAAACAATGTAATTCTTAAAGCTGAATAAATATGTGGCAATACCATTTAATTTGTTTGTGATTAACTGCAAAATTCAATGACTGCTCAACAAGGCATTCCATGCTGGCATGCATTATGTTTCTTTTGAATTTACTGTTTGAAAAATCAAAATAAATAGAAAATTCGGTAATACTGTTTTTAAACTTTTAATTTTTCTCTTATGAAAATTCTTTTTTTGTAAATATGATCAATAAAATTGTTTCTATTCACCGTCTTGCTTTAAAAAAAAAACATTCGTAATTTATAATAACTTATTTACAACTTGAAAACTTTTAAAATTCCTGTGCCTTTAGTCGGATTTTCTTTATTTACTATCAATAAATTGAACTATGATAAAGTAATTACAGTAAATCATGGTCATGCTCACAATAACAAGAATTTGTAACAGAGTTTCAAACATCCTCCACCTTGGGGAAGTTTTATATGAAGCATAAAATTGTGCTATTTCAAAAGATTGAGGTATGGATCTCAGGACTTTCAGTCCAAAATTATGATCAATGCTAGATCTGCAGATGAAACAATAAATTTATTAAAGAAATAATTCTAAAATCTATCATGTTAATCTTTTACTTCCAACTGTGACCTTGGATGTAGGGACCCATGTTTTGCGCCTGACATATCGTCTTATTATTGTGATTATTTGTGCAAAGTATTTTTAAAATCCCTTGATCTATGAAAAATTTATGGACTGGACACAAAATATACTCTAAAACAGACTATGAAATCTTTGACCTCTATGTGTGACCTTGACCTTGGAGGTAGGGGTGCAGGTGTTGTACTTGACATATTGTCTTATTATTGTGATTATTTGTGCCTAGTTTTAGATCGGACACAAAATATAGTTTTCCATTTGAACTAAACATATTAAAGTATTTTTTTCTAAATTTAAGAAGAACACTTTCATTTGATGTGGTATTAGTTACTATACCTGGTTCAATATTTTCTTTTCTACCAGAAGTTGAAGGAAGGCCAGCACATATCGGTTTTTATTTTCCCTTACACAGTTGTCTGCTTGTACATATAATACTGGAGGTAGTCTGCCATCCTACAACAAATATCATATGCTTTAAAAATAAACGTCTTATAAGAAGATTTTAAACTATAAAATGGTTCACAAGTTATTTGTTTAAAATGGTTTTCAAAGTGAAGGTCAGTATTGCATTGCCCTTTAACCAAGTGAAGCCAATGGTTTATAATCCCAAAATAATGTGGGTAAAATTGTTTATAACTCTTTTTTTAAACAGTTTTCCAAGTTAACAAGAATGATCAGTTATCATATGTGTCGCCTCATGATAGCCATAACTCTGCAAAGAATCATTCAACCTGAATCTATTTACTATGCAATACATTTTTACTTGCCCTATTTTAAGTTAAAATGGAAACAAAATGCCTATTTTTTTGAAATTAAAATGTTAACAAGTTTTTAACTTGTATAAATTGGATTGACCTAAAGAGTTCAAGTGAACAAAGCTGGACTGTACCTTAAACATGTTTACACTGAATTCAGTCTACAGTAATCCAATAATATTAACTTACATTAACTTTAGCAGTGTTCAGCAACATCTTTAAAATCACTGTAATGGTAAGATTTGGATCATGGGGAAACTGGTTAAAGTCTGTAAATGTGTGGAATCCTCCATGACCATGGCTTATTACTCCAGTAATATGAGTTTTCAAGAGATCAACTGGGTTTATACTCTGCAAAAAAAAGGAAAAATAAACTTTTTTTGAAAATGATAACAGAAAACTTATTATTTCAAAATGGAAACATTTTTTATTAATGTTTTGCAACCTGATTTATCATTATTAAAACTTAAGCAGGACAAATGCTTTCCATGAAGGCAATTCAAAACTTTTCACATAGCCAGGTAATAAAAATCATGCTTCCTTTTGAAGAGTTATTAAACATGTATGTCAATTTATTTCTTTATAACCACATTCTTTTATATTAGTAAATATACACTTTACATATTAATTTTTCAACTCTGTCACAAATGGTAATTATTTGATATGATTAACTTTTATGATGCCCAGAAACATAATTATTGCTTGTACGAGGATATACAGTAAACTTTCAGCAAACATACCTTTGGTAGACGACCTTTGAAATGCGGCAAATTTGTTTTCGCTGGAAAAGAAAAAACAGTTCACAATCTTTAATTTTCGTGCTACCTTATGAAAGACACAAAATTTATGCAGTCCTAAAATTTATGGTGTGTGATGATTACAGCTCCACTGCATTTTTTAAAAATAGGCTGTTACACTAAACAAATTAGCATATAAGAATTTTAATCAGAACAGCCTTGGCTGTAATTCATAATAACCTCAGAGTTAATATGAATTGTAAGTAGTTCTTAGTAACTGTATCGTTTCAGATGTAAACAAAAACAAAGAGTGTTATCTTTAATAAGGTACCAAAAACTATAATGTATAAATTTGACATCCACAGGAAAATAAAGTCTGAGTACAAGTATGATTGAAAATAAGTGTGACAACCAATTTTGATTTAAATATGCCCACTGATGTAAACAAGTCCAACTAAATGTCAACAGATTGGCATTTTGTACTTTCAGTTTTTACAACCATTCTGATAATTATATAAATAATGTACTGTTTACTTTATATCTATGAACATAATTAATTTTGGTGGACTTTTACTTGATATATTGGAAAAACTATTTGTTTACATTATTAGTTTCTTAGTGTAGGTTAGACCCAAATATTGTCTCTGTTCTGTGTATTCTTGTTATTGTGTTCCAGGGCCTTATCCGAGGACTGATTCAAAGGGCAGAAAAGTTGATAAGGATTTATTACTATTGAAATGTTCTGATATGTTGTAATTTTCTTGTCTTGTACTAAGTAGGTCAATAGTTAATGAAAATATTATGCAATAAAAAACGACAAGTAAACAAGTCCTTGTTCCTTCATTGGTAATGAATGTTATAATAAAGTCAGAAGTCCTTCTTTCCTTTGATAAGAGATATATTGAGTTGAACTTATTCATAGTCTTACGTCAATACAGATACGCAATTGACATAACATTTCTTTCATAAATAACATTTGTACTAGCATTAAAGCTTTGCTTCATACTTACACTGATCCATTCCATCAATTATCAAGCTGAGGTACTTCATTGGCTCAACACGGCTCTGTTCCCTTTTGCAATGATAATAGATTCTCTCTTTCCTGTTAAAAACACAAATATTAGATACTGAACAATGCTTTAAATTTGTTAGTTTTATTGACAAAGTCAGATTAATGCGAGATTTGCTTCCACCAAACCCTGATAAAGAGGCCATCCTTGTCTGGAAGAATGCTTTGGCACTTATATTCAAGAAGAAGGTTTGTAAAAGTTCATAACTCTGGGAATGCCTTAAATTTGGGTTTTCAAATTTTGCACTTTCTGTCAAAATAAATATGTCTTTTTTTGTTTATGTAACCCTGACTATGTGACTTCATCATATTCTAGAACAGCAATCATCAAAGTATATCAAAGAATAAAATTTCTTCTACCAGTCAAATCCCCACAAGAAGTAAGGAACTTTCTGTAGGCTATGGCCATTTGTTTAATACTTAAATGAACTTTTGAGTTCTTGGTTTGTGAAAATGTATTTGAAGTTTGAAGTAGATACCTAAAGAAAGAAAAAAGTGAACAACAAAACAAAACAACATTTTTTAAATTCAAAGCTCAAGGATGATAATTCTGATATAATTATGTAACCTTTCCACATATGATGTGGGTGATGATAAGAAACATATATTTGAACTTTGAAGTTAAGTAACATTGAGAAATAAGAAGTAATACAAAAAACAACATTTTTGATGAAAGTTCTCAGTTCATGGAGGGTAATTCTGATAATTTTGGTGCTTAGTGTTGTGAACCATGTCACATATGATGCACTTATCTATTGTTGCCATAGCAACCATATTTTTCAACAATAGACAGAAA